AGGACTTTTTGGTCTATTATCGACCAAGTAGGATTATGACCATGACTCCTCAGTATATAGTATGCTTACTTGGAGGTAATCCAATGAAAAAAAAATGAAGGAATGAAAGCACACATGGCAATGCAGGATGCGAGTGCCTAGAATGTTCCTAGAACATGACTACAGTGGTGTGCAGGAGGAGAACAACTATGTATGTGTGTTATCAGAGGAACGTGAGCAAATCATTTAAAATATACACCATTACCGGTTAAAAGTTCTTTAACATATTGAAAGAACTTTGTGCCTAGAAATGCCTTAATAATATTTAATTCAACATGTTTTCAAGTCTATAATACCTTATGTTTAATATAGCATATATTCTTTATGTAAGAGTGTATTTTCATCCTTTCGTTGTCATGCATGGATTTATTCCTGAGTGCAGAGATTGTAGACTACTCCCTTTCATGATGAAGAAGGAAAATGGCCATGCCATTCAATGTCTGTGCATTACTTCAAAATTGAAAAGGATTCTTGTTTTAACTTTCTTTCCTTTTGACTTTTGATACACATTTGTACTTGATTAAATATGAGGATTGGTTTTACTTTAAGAGCTGACTTATTAAAATAACTTCGATTCAATTTTAATGTAGCTGCTAAGTTGTAAAGGCAACAAGGAATAGCTTGCTTTCAAATTTTCGATTTGAAAGAAGTGTGATTTTGAAGGGTACACAGAACTGGTTTTAATCCATTGGTTTGTTAAAAGCAGCTTTCAACCTTATTGTATCCAAAAATTGTTTTATAAAGAGAGTTGGTTTGAAAAATAAATCAAGCATTTCGCACCTTGTCCAAACCAGATTTAGAGTATGACTTGGTTAATCCCAAATTTAATGGGCCTTTAAGGCAAGGAAATATGACAGGACAGTTCTGAGGATCAGATTCAGATCTTGTGACACCTTACACAGGATGTGACTGCAGTCATGTCAGGTTTGTAGGTCTCAGTTTCCTTGCTTATGAAAGTGAATAGTCATAACACGTACTTATAACACAGAAAGAAGAATGCTGCAAAGATTGTGAAGATGTATCTGAGGACGCTTAATAAAGCAACACCTTTAACACCCCGAGAATGGTCCACGTAGTACCAATGCACACTGGGAGGGAGGACACAGGATTTCATGCCAAAAGAAAATCTGAAACAAGGAAATGGATGTCTTCTACTTCTATTTCTGGCGTCCAAATAAATTCGGAAGCCTCTTTATTCACTATTTCTATGTCGAGGTAAATTATGACTAGATCTTATCCTGCTATTGATGGTCACACTTGTCTGTCTTATATGCCTCAACCATTTTCACTGATCTTATATACAGCTGACATACAAGTATGGCTTTCTTTCTGAAGCAAAATGAATTTGTCAGGTAACTAAACCCAGGATAGTCTGATGTCAAGAAAGGTAAAGTCAGACAGCATGTAATTCCACTCCTTCTCTTGCATCACTTGTCTCAAATTTAGGACTTCTTTCCTTTTCTCACATCTATATATGCCTTTCTACTACTTCTGCTGTGTTTTCACCTTTTCTTTGTCTTACCAGAAAGAAATGTGAACTTGTACCTAGTTTTAATGCAGTATTTGTCAACAGATAAAGCACCATAAGTGATTAAATTCTTTGTTTTGTATACTTACGCGGCTATCATGACGGTAATGCAAGCTTTTCAGCAGAGAAGCTAGCTAATGCCCTAATTTTACATGCATTCTTTTAAATGTAGAATACACATAATATAACTGAGTTCTTCATTCCACAAATGAATGCAATCTTTTGATAGCAATATCCACTTTTACAATGTGCACTGTTTTATTTTATTTTTTGAAAATTTTATATAATTATATCACTTTCTCCTTCCATCTCTCCAACCCTTCCAATTCATTTTATTCCCAACTTGTCCTCTCAAAATGTATGCACTCTTTAATATTGTCACCCACACATACACACAGCACACACACATAAGTATATATTCCTAAACACATTAATGCAATTTCCTAAATCCCCCTAATATTACTTTTATGTATTTGATCTCAGGGCTGAGGACTTGGTATTAGATAACCAACTGAGGAATCTTCCCTGAGGAAGACCATTTCTCCTGTTCTCAGAAGACACTTTAGACATAAGACTTGGAGAACCTGATCTGTAATGATCTGAAACCCTCTGCACCCTGAGAACAAGATTGCAGGGCACCAAATTTTCCACTCAAACTTCCAAAGAAAGGATGCAACCAACAGTCCCACTCAGCTATGACACCGATGAGCAACAGAAATGAAGCGTGACACACTTCCTGGCAATAATCAACAGAGATTAGGCTTCCTTTAAATGTCAGAGAGACTGAACTCATGAAGTCTCATTAACCTGGACAGTTATCTTTATTTGCCTTGTTCCCTTTCTGAAAAATGACTCACTGTTATAACTAGCTATGATTATGTAGCAGATTGGTTAGAATAATGGTCAAAATAAATGAAGTATGTGATTGACTTCACTCAGTTTCTTGTGAACGGAAATCAAGGGCTCATCATCTTTCTGCTAGAAAAATTTTCTATGGATATCTTTAAGGTGATTGCTCAAAAATAAAGGAATTAAATTTTCAACTTACAAGAGAAGCACGAGCCAAAAATTGACTAAGTTATTTAATATGAGAAGTCTACGTCTATATGGCCTCCAGATAACAGGTTTAGAGTTATGGAAGAAGTATTGCAATTGCAGCTAGCCACATATATATATATATATATATATATATATATATGTTACGATATGAATAAAAGAAGCATCATCATTGGTTCTAAACTGAGTTTTATTATGTATGCTCTCTTCCTGTTATCCAGATAAAGGATCATAGAAAGGAACTGGAGGTAGCCTTAGACAAACTGTTATGTTTAATTTCAAAAAAAGTAAGAATTATAGTTTAGGGATGTTTACATATTAACCCACTGAAGACTGTACGATTGTTTGCTATAGCCCACCATCTCCTGCCGTATATCTGCATGGGATTACAATCAAGTCCTTGTGCAAGAATTAAACCATTAATACATGTTTTACAAATAAATAAATAGTATAACTAGACTGGATCATAAAGTCTTTTTTGTAGTGCTGTGGCTATAACTCAGGGCATTCCGGGTAAGCATTCTACTACTTATTTACATTCTCAAACTCACATAGCATTGATTATTTGTTTGCTTTTTATTTTTGAGACAAGAGTCTCAGCTGTAGCTCTGGCTGTCCAGAAAGATCACAATGTATACCAGACTGGCCTTGAATTTACAGAGACTGTCTACCTCTGCCTCTCAAATGCTAGAATTAAAGGGTGTAGTATTGATTTGCAAGAGATTTTCCTATCTTTCATAGTCTTTTGACCTCAGTCATAAATTTGCAAGTAGCTGTCACAAATCGAGTACTACATTCTGAAACACAAATGTAGCACTCAACGTTTTACAAGAAAATTGAAAATTTGTTCTAAGAGTGCTTGACTAGTACAAATTTGACCACTGGTTGCCTTTGGTCACTCATTAATTTAATTATATATGCTTTAAATGAAAGATATTTTAAGGATGAAACTGATAAGGTTTTTAATAGTACTGAGCTATCATGGGGTCAATGGACATATAGAGGCACAGAGTTGTTTACTGGTATTGTTTCGCCTTAGTCAATGACACAAATATCTTAAGATAATTCATCATACAAGAATTAAATTATATAAGATCTCAGGGGGTCTGGAATTTGAAACTTATTTTTTAATAATGGTCTAGTAATTCTTCAACTGGACTTTCAATCACACTCTCAAATAGACCATTGGTGACAGAATAACCTGGCTTATCATTTTTCCCTATTAAAACTTTGACACTAAATTCTTTCAAACCTAGTTTTCTTTCTAGTCTCAGGAGTGTACAATCTGTATCCTGTGAAATTGGAAAAGGAAAAATGAGTCTCTAATTTTATGACTAAACAAGTTTTATAGTTTGGAGGCATAACACAGCATCCTTTGTAGAGGAAATATACATTACCTCTATAGCCATTTCTATGTTCCTGTTGTAAAGACCAATGCTATTCTAAAAACTATGTGAATCAGCTCATTCAACATTATTGTACCTATGTTGGAGATGAAGGTACTAACAACCACAGAGGTAAAATGACACAAAGGACACACAGCTAATCAATCAGATCCCCAAATCTATGTATTATAATCATAGTAAAAACTGTAATAACACTGAGATCGAGAATGTATAGGGTACTGTAGCCCAAGTTCTGTTCCAATGACTAATTTTACTTATTGCTGTGAAATATTTATCATAACAAAAATCACCAATGTAGAAACTTATATTATCTTGTCTTCTAGAGGAAAGACTAAAACACAGAAAGATTCACTAAACTGTCTAAGATGCCACAGCAAGTAAATGACACCTGGGACACATACCTATTCCCTATATTTACTATACAAATCTATAAAAAACCTACTTCTATGTGTGGATTGATGATAGTGATACTTGTTCGTAAGACAATTTAATACCATACTATTGACTCTTGTTTCAGTTAGAATTGCAAAGGAAAGGATGTTTTCAGAATTCTAGCAATACCAGCACAAATGAATTGTCCACTAGCAATTCAGTGCCTCCATTGTGGTTCACCACTGTCATTCATGCGATTACAAGCCATACTGGCTCCAGCTCTCGGACATATCTGAAATTGGGTTTAGTAACATTAGGACTTATCAAGCAATACGAAGCATCTTGTTATTATGAACATCAAATGAATACTCTTTTGAAACAGGTTCTTGCTATACAGCCCTGGCTAGGCTGGAACTTGCTATGTAGAACAGGCTGGCCAGAAATTCACAGAGATTTGCCTGGCTCCACCTTGACGTGCTGAAATTAAGAGGATACATCATTATGCGTGGAAAAGGGAATAACCTTTGTTGCTCCTTACAAACAAATTTTATGTACACGTCATTATCCTATGCCAAGGAGGCCAGAGCATGCATGCCTACCTGCAGAAGCTTCCATCGGGTGTTCAGATCTTCCAGAGTGCTGAGGTTATAAGGTGAGAGCTGAATGCTCAAAGTGGTAAGTTGGCGAGCAAGGTCATTGACATGATTGACATTCTCTTTAAGAGGTGCAATTTCTCCCCGAAGTATCTATGAATTAGAAGATAAAAAAATAAATCAAAGATTTCTAGACATCTTGGAACTGTAAGACATCTTACTCTGTTTTGGGTGTAATGTCAATGATGTTCACTCTACCATCTGAAAGTGTTCATTTGTTAAAAAGCTAAAAATAATATCACTAGTGCATATAGACTGTAAGCTCTCTGGCAATATTAGGGAATAGGCCTGATTGAAATGTGAATTTTGAAATCAGTGCCTGTGGTGCTTTGGATGAGAATGGCCGCTAGAGACGCATATATTTGAATGCTTGGCCCTCAGTTGGTGGAACTGCTTGAGGCAGATTAGGAGGTCTTGTTGGAGAAGGTGTGTCCATGGGGTTGGGCTTTGAGGTTTCCATAGACCATCCCATTCCCAGATAGCTCTCTCCGACTCTGTTTTTGCAGATGGGATGCAATCTCTCAGCTACTGTTCCAGGACTATACGTTCCTGCTGCCATGTGACCAGCAATGATGGTCATAGGCTTGCCCTCAGAAACTTTTTTTTTTTGAGACAGGGTTTCTCTGTAGCTTTGGTGCCTGTCCCGGAACTAGCTCTTGTAAACCAGACTGGCCTCGGACTCCCAGAGATTCGCCTGCCTCTGCCTCCCGAGTGCTGGGATTAAAGGCGTGTGCCACCACCTCCCAGCGCCTCAGAAACTTTAAGCACCCAATAAACTACTTCTGGAAGTTGCCCTTGGTCATGGCATTCTGTTGCAGCAATAAATTGTAGCCAAGACAGTGTCCCTCTCAAAGAATCCTCAGACATGAAGCTAGCCCCTTTCTTTGATTAGGTGAGGAAGTAGCAAGAGGCAATAGTTACCAGACATATTTGCTAGTCACTTAAACTTGGACATCTTCACCCCCAAATGTGACAGAACTAGATTTCTATTGTTTGTTATCACTCATTTATGGTACTTTCTTCTTTATTAGAAGCTCAGATAGGCTATCACACTAGGATGCATTAGTGTTAAGCATCGTGTTCCAGTTCCTTGGTACATGATGCCGTGATAAGCATCACCCACACATACATTAATCTGTCTCTATGAGACGGGTACTTGGAGCATCCTCATTTTACCTTTGAGAAACTAAACTTGCAGGTCTTAAATTGTGCCGAAATTCTATGGGTAAAAATGTTGTAACCTGGGATACATATTTGGACTTGTTTTCTTCAGAGTGCATATTCTTAATTACCACATTATGTTACTCGACACAAAATCTGGAATGACAACGTGACATGACCAGTAGAATGCTGCTAGATTCTAAATCCCATGTTTCAAGCAGCAAGGGGTTCTTTACTTTTTACAATGAGAAGATAAACTAAATCATGCGAGTACATTCATCCTTTGTACCTACTACATGATAAATACTTTTATTTAGGGAGGAAGGTATTTTGTCAGCCTAGGATGACTTTCTGCTCTCATGGTATTTTAGTCCTTGTTGCAGAGACTTTGGAAGGCTCCCATGGGGATTTTGACTGTTTCTGAAGTTTGAAAGCAGGTGTCTCTGATGTGATGCATCATGAGGATCTATTGAACAGAACACTATGCAGATATGCAGAGGAGAATATCATGCATCATAGCTACCCCATTGAGTTGGCATTTATGGATCTTTAACATGATGCATGACAACCAAATGTTCCAACGAATGACATCTAAGGAACAAACTCCCTCACTTAGGAGAACAGTTTATGTAATGTAATGTCTGTTCACAAGGACAGCATCACTGAGTTGACTTCCTATTGGACTTGCTTGACCTGGGAGGTATTATTTCCCTGTCTGGTGCTCACTGTTTTTGTATAAAAACATTGTTTGTAATACCCACATCTATAGCCCTTATATTTCTTTTGATTTCAAATGGAAGCTGGTCTCTACCTTCGAATCAAGGATGGCATTGTCCTCAAATCAACCTGAATACCTGGCAAATAACATATACCATTTACAGAGAATAGAAGACTCCTAAATTGCACTCAGATGAAATATAGCAAGATAATCATTAAGATTTTTAGCAGAGCAAATGTAGATTTATTCAGAAAAAGTAAAAAAAAAAAAATAACTCCCAAGAGGGAGACGGTTATCAACAGAGGAATAATTTGAACTTAGCGTTTAGGTTTAGGACAGGGTCATCCTATAGCCCAAACTGGACTTCAAATGCAAAGTAACCCTCTTGCTTTATCCTGCAAATCAGGACTTAGACAGTTTTAATATTTTTCAGACAGAGTCTCGGTATATAAACCTGGCTAGCCTGGAAGTCAACATGCAGACTGGACTGATTTTAAAGTCACAGAGATTTACCTGCTGCTGTCTTCCAAGCATAAAGAATAAAAGTGTGTGCCACCATACCCAGCCCCTTCAGCTTTTAAAAGTGGCTTTTAAAATATACTAAAAACACAATTTCTTGTGGGCAGGCGAAAGTCTTATTCTATTAGTGATGATCTTAACACCTGAAGAACAGGGTAACCTGTACTGAAATGTATAAGTTAACAGGGGAATGCTTGCTACTTACTATGTAAAAATCTAAAAACCTTCTGCAGTAGACACATTTTTACACAACGTATTGGTGGAATGACATTGGAATCACCCTGAAATTGCAGCAGTTCCTAGTAAAAGTGATTCCATTTCCTTATGAAGAAATACATTGTTTAAAAGCATCGGCACTAAGTGCCCAGGTAGAAAGGCCATTAACTCCTTTATATGGACATTTGTGTCTCTCAAGGGAATGGTTCATAATTATTTTGTATTCTGCAATGTAAAGGTTAGAAAACAGACTTCTGAAATGTCAACGGAAAAACCTGGATAAGGATGAAGATGGTTATGAAATGCAACCAGATTCTTTTAGATTACCACAGAAATTACTAATTATCACAGACAAACATGTGAGGTTGAATGGGAAACAGGAACCACTGTGGAAACGGCAAGGTGCCAGCATGGTTCTCTGTAAGAAAAAGTGAGGTGTTCAGGTTCTAAGTTATGTCATGCTTAGGTTTCCGTTTTGATATGTAGTAGGCATGTTCCAATGTGTTGATTCTAATAATTTAATTTTTACTTTCTCTCTTCAAACCCTAGGAACAATTAATACTGAATCATTTGAAGCTAAAAAGAAGGAAAATTAATCTCCAGTCCTCTTTACTATTTCATTTTCCTTTTTTTTTATTAATTTTTTTATTAAAAATTTCTGCCTCCTCCCCGCCTCCCGTTTAGGGTTGGCAAGAGTCATTTTCCTTGTACAATATTCCTCTTTCCTTCGGTAAACTCTACGTCTTAGGGTGCTGTGGTAACATTTGGCTTCCTTCTCTGTACCAATGATAACTGACGATCCCTAAAGTGATCTACAAATAAGTAAAAATGCTTGCAGTACCTGTGTGTGGCTATTTCTTCTCCTCTCATTAGTTCAGATTGTTAGTTGCTTGTACATTTCAGCTGTCTTTTGTATGCATGTCTACAAACCTGCTCTCATCAATACTACAATCATAATTTAATTAGCAATCTCCAAAATCAAAGAAACATTTTAAGAGGAAAAAAAAGGCTACTGTTGCATGAGAAGGGGTCTAAGCACTTTACAAGACTTGCTTCACAAAGAAAAATAGAAGTAAACATTGTCAGTTAGGTAAGTGTAGATAAGGCTCCAGTCAAAAATTAGGGAAGCAACTCTAAGAATTTAGATGTCTGAGATCAGAATGCTCTCCATGTTTTCTGATGCTTTCTCTCTACACTAAAGAAACCAGAACTGGAAATCAAACAGATTGCTTTATCAGTGGGCCTTGTGGAGGACCCCAATCAGTGTGTGTCCACTCAAAGAATCTTCACACACAAGCAAAACACTTGTGACTATTTAAATTTAAAAAGTTTAAGCGAAGTTTTTATTTTGATCTGTATTTAACTCTATTTTTGTATTAACTGCTCAACTATAGTTCTTAATCGAATCAGAAGAGGGAACAGCTATTATAGATTATTTACTACTTGTAACTTTCTATAACCGTTACTATTACTAGGTTTGGCGGTAAGTCTATTTACCAGGAGAAACATCTCACCAACCTCACAGAAGCTTTTCAAATGTCTTTTTATCCACAATTTACTACTACTACTACTACTACTACTACTACTACTACTACTACTACTACTACTATCACTACTACTACTATTGAGGCAGGCTATTTCTGTGTATTTCAGGCTAGTCTAGAAATTATTATGCAGCCTATGTTGGTGTGAAAAACATAATTCCTCTTTCTTAGCCTCTTGAATGCTGAAAATTTTGACAGGAAGAAATTCGTTGATCAGGTGGCAGTCCAGGAGCTGCCTTTGGCTTCTGCTCCCTTGAATTCCTTGTCATGGTGGAATGTACCATTGAACTGTGAACCAAAAAGAAATCTTTCTTCCTCTTTTCAGGGTATTTTCTCATGGTAACAGGAAAAGGAACTAATTCCACTGTGTAAAGTGTGAATGCAGGCGCTACATCATTTAAAGAGATTTAACATTGAGTTAGAATATACTTCAACTATTAGGGATTTTAATATTATATACCTAAATTTATGTTTAAATTATTAATACTGCCCATAAAATGTCAAAAAGTACAGTTAACTCTAAGCAGCATGATGTATTATGTGACTTCCACTAGGTTTTATTCTAGTTTGGAACTTGTAAGTGAGAAAATATCGAAGGGAGCCATTAGACTCTGGGTTTCTTTGAAAGACTTTAACATCTGGAATATGCTTTCCATAAAAGAGCAAAGACAAATTTTATTATGACTAGTTTGATGCAAGTCAAATTTTCACTTCATTAAATGTTTAATTATAAATAAAAATTGCTGATTTAGAATGATATATAAATTTGATGTCAAGTTATTCTTTTTAAAAAGTTAAATTACCTGTCATATTTTTGTTTATCTTTTTGTAGTTAAAAACTTTTCAAGTATGTTTGAAATTATAGTCATCAACCTATTGTGAAAAAAAGAAAGGAATTGTCTCTTATCAAAGACATGTTTGTGAGGAAGTAATTT